CTGTATTGATATAATGAACACTAAGCTTGTTACCATTGTAAACAGTTGCATGACAACACCTGTCAGGAATGACTGTATGTAGTGTACAGGAACGTAACATGATCCACCCAGGTGGGAGCTCATCAAGCACTCCGTGTTTAACACATGCTTCAGGTGCCGCTTGCCTTGTTAAATACCAGGACACTGATTGAGACAGTTTTTATAATTGTTGAATACAGGCATAAGCTTAGACTAACGCTTAGACTTTTGATGGAAACAAACAATTCCTTTCACATTGAAAAGGAGCCGAGTGAGAAGGGTTTTAGCATTGCCGAAAGGGCTGGACAGAAGCAAATGTAATGAGTTCAGCGACTGCGAGACAGACTAGCAAAGGCTTAGAAATAGGATAAAAAGAAATTTAATAAGTCACAGCTAAATATATAATTAAATGTACACCAGCTGGAGCCGTGTAGGTGAGGTGAAGATCTAACATTAAATGTTGGCGTGACCTGGCATATTGCTAATGGACTTGTGTGATTTATGGAAATGTTTACAGGGATATTTATGACAGATTGTCTGTTTGAATACCTAACAAAGCTTCAGATAAGTCTAGGTATAACCTGGTTAAAGCTTATAAAAAAGTGACTGTGTATTGTTTCCCAGTTTAAGGTCCATACCCACTATATGCAACAGAAAGGCTGCCGTATGAAGCCATGTTTTAGTCGTCACCAATGGCCCATCAGGTAGCATCTCAGTAGTTAGTTATTCTGTTCCTTGGAATGTCACCAGACGACTTATTATTCACGTAATACAGATTACTATGGACAATTATTATTTGTATTCATACAGGATGCCATTGTGTAAAGTGATTGTAGTGCTAAGGTGGTTGTATCTCCCATATATTAACGTAGAATTATGACAGTCGTAGGGCTTATGTTAATTTGTACAACACCACCCATGTCTTCATGATTTGAGCCTGTCACGTGTCGCACAAAAGTGTATGTGAAAATATGTAAGCTGGGCATGACACTACCAGTAGCCCATAACAGCATGACACTACCAGTAGCCCATTACAGTGTCACTACCAGTAGCCCATTACAGCATGACACTACCAGTAGCCCATTACAGTGTGACACTACCAGTAGCCCATTACAGCATGACACTACCAGTAGCCAAGTACAGTGTGACACTACCAGTAGCCCATTACAGTGTGACACTACCAGTAGCCCATTACAGCATGACACTACCAGTAGCCCTTTACAGTGACACTACCAGTAGCCCTTTACAGTGTGACACTACCAGTAGCCCATTACAGCATGACACTACCAGTAGCCCATTACAGCATGACACTACCAGTAGCCCATTACAGTGTCACTACCAGTAGCCCATTACAGCATGACACTACCAGTAGCCCAGTACAGTATGACACTACCAGTAGCCCATTACAGCATGACACTACCAGTAGCCCATTACAGCATGACACTACCAGTAGCCCATTACAGTATGATGCTACCAGTAGCCCATTACAGCATGACGCTACCGGTAACCCATTAAAGCATGACACTACCAGTAGCCCAAAGTACAGCATGACACTACCAGTAGCCCATTACAGTGTGACACTACCAGTAGCCCATTACAGCATGACACTACCAGTAGCCCTTTACAGTGTGACACTACCAGTAGCCCATTACAGTGTGACACTACCACTAGCCCATTACAGCATGACACTACCAGTAGCCCATTACAGCATGACACTACCAGTAGCCCAGTACAGTATGACACTACCAGTAGCCCATTACAGCATGACACTACCAGTAGCCCATTACAGCATGACACTACCAGTAGCCCATTACAGTGTCACCACCAGTAGCCCATTACAGCATGACACTACCAGTAGCCCATTACAGCATGACACTACCAGTAGCCCATAACAGCATGACACTACCAGTAGCCCATTACAGTGTCACTACCAGTAGCCCATTACAGCATGACACTACCAGTAGCCCATTACAGCATGACACTACCAGTAGCCCATTACAGCATGACACTACCAGTAGCCCATTACAGTGTGACACTACCAGTAGCCCATTACAGTGTGACACTACCAGTAGCCCATTACAGCATGACACTACCAGTAGCCCATTACAGTGACACTACCAGTAGCCCTTTACAGTGTGACACTACCAGTAGCCCATTACAGCATGACACTACCAGTAGCCCATTACAGCATGACACTACCAGTAGCCCATTACAGTGTGACACTACCAGTAGCCCATTACAGCATGACACTACCAGTAGCCCATTACAGCATGACACTACCAGTAGCCCATTACAGCATGACACTACCAGTAGCCCATTACAGCATGACACTACCAGAAGCCCATTACAGCATGACACTACCAGTAGCCCATTACAGTGTGATGCTACCAGTAGCCCATTACAGCATGACGCTACCGGTAACCCATTAAAGCATGACACTACCAGTAGCCAAGTACAGCATGACACTACCAGTAGCCCATTACAATGTGACACTACCAGTAGCCCATTACAGCATGACACTACCAGTAACCCTTTACTGTGTGACACTACCAGTAGCCCATTACAGTGTGACACTACCAGTAGCCCATTACAGCATGACACTTCCAGAAGCCCATTACAGCATGACACTACCAGTAGCCAAGTACAGTATGACACTACCAGTAGCCCATTACAGTGTGACACTACCAGTAGCCCATTACAGCATGACACTACCAGTAGCCCATTACAGTGTCACCACCAGTAGCCCATTACAGTATGACACTACCAGTAGCCCATTACAGCATGACACTACCAGTAGCCCATTACAGCATAACACTACCAGTAGCCCATTACAGCATGACACTACCAGTAGCCCATTACAGTGTGATGCTACCAGTAGCCCATTACAGCATGACGCTACCGGTAACCCATTTAGAGCATGACACTACCAGTAGCCAAGTACAGTATGACACTACCAGTAGCCCATTACAGCATGACACTACCAGTAGCCCATCACAGCATGACACTACCAGTAGCCCATTACAGCATGACACCACTAGTAGCCCATTACAGCATGACACTACCAGTAGCCCATTACAGCATGACACTACCAGTAGCCCATTACAGCATGACACCACTAGTAGCCCATTACAGCATGACACTACCAGTAGCCCTTTACAGTGTGACACTACCAGTAGCCCATTACAGCATGACACTACCAGTAGCCCATTACAGCATGACATAACCGGTAGCCCTTTACAGTGTGACACAACCAGTAGCCCATTACAGCATGACGCTACTAGTAGCCCTGTACAGCGTGACACTACCAGTAGCCCATAATAGCATGACACTACCAGTAGCCCATAATAGCATGACACTACCAGTAGCCCATAATAGCATGACACTACCAGTAGCCCTTTACAGTGTGACACCACTAGTAGCCCTGTACAAGGTGACACTACCAGTAGCCCATAATAGCATGACACTACCAGTAGCCCATAATAGCATGACGCTACCAGTAGCCCAGTACAGTGTGACACAACCCTTAGCCCATTGCAGTGTTACATAACCAGTAGCCTAGCACAGTGTTACACTACCAGTAGCCCATTGCAGTGTTACATAACCAGTATCCTAGCACAGTTTTACACAACCAGTAGCCCATTGTAGTGTTACATAACCAGTAGCCTAGCACAGTTTTACACAACCAGTAGCCCATTGCAGTGTTACATAACCAGTAGCCTAGCACAGTTTTACACAACCAGTAGCCCATTGTAGTGTTACATAACCAGTAGCCTAGCACAGTTTTACACAACCAGTAGCCCATTGCAGTGTTACATAACCAGTAGCCTAGCACAGTGTTACACAACCAGTAGCCCATTGTAGTGTTACATAACCAGTAGCCTAGCACAGTGTTACACAACCAGTAGCCCATTGCAGTGTTACATAACCAGTAGCCTAGCACAGTTTTACACTACCAGTAGCCCATTGCAGTGTTACATAACCAGTAGCCTAGCACAGTTTTACACAACCAGTAGCCCATTGTAGTGTTACATAACCAGTAGCCTAGCACAGTGTTACACTACCAGTAGCCCATTGCAGCACAACACTACCAGTAGCCCTGTACAGCCTGACACTACCAGTAGCCCATTGCAGCATGACACTACCAGTAGCCCTGTACAGTGTGACACAACCCTTAGCCCATTGCAGTGTTACATAACCAGTAGCCTAGCACAGTGTTACACAACCAGTAGCCCATTGCAGTGTTACATAACCAGTAGCCTAGCACAGTGTTACACAACCAGTAGCCCATTGCAGTGTTACATAACCAGTAGCCTAGCACAGTTTTACACAACCAGTAGCCCATTGCAGTGTTACATAACCAGTAGCCTAGCACAGTTTTACACAACCAGTAGCCCATTGCAGTGTTACATAACCAGTAGCCTAGCACAGTGTTACACTACCAGTAGCCCATTGCAGTGTGACACAACTAGTAGCCCTGTACAGCGTGACGCTATCAGTAGCCCTGTACAGCGTGACACTACCAGTAGCCCATTATAGCATGACACTACCAGTAGCCCATTATAGCATGACACTACCAGTAGCCCATTGCAGCACAACACTACCAGTAGCCCTGTACAGTGTGACACAACCCTTAGCCCATTGCAGTGTTACATAACCAGTAGCCTAGCACAGTGTTACACTACCAGTAGCCCATTGCAGTGTGACACAACTAGTAGCACTGTACATGTATGAGACTAGCGCGATAGATATGTCAGTTTATTTTCGTCATGCATTCAGTAGTTTCGTTGATTTAATATTTCATACACCTGTGTTATTTAGGGTCCTGCAGGATTCACAGGGTCAGTTATTGGCGCCCATTCCTCCATGGGTGTAGACATATAGGATGCAGAGATTTGTTGCAGTAAAACCTGCACACTGTTGCTGAAGTTTCAGATCAGTGCCACTTGTTCACATATAGTTGTCATGCAAGCTCTTATCTATAGGTCATTCGACCCGAGTTGAGCCGGACAGTATGGACTGGGCAGGGCAGTCTGAAGGACGAGGACCCGGAGATGAAAGCCATCATGGACAAAGAGAAGCATCGACAGACACATGGCCTGGAGCTCATAGCATCTGAGGTAGGTGCTGTCTTATAACCATGGCAACAGACACTCTACCCTGACATTGTGGCACGGGTGAAAGCCTGGCTACAACAGGCTGAACATGACACACTAATTATGAAACATTGATCATGAATTGCTCAAATTTTTCTGGAGACATGGTTTCTGGACATTTCGTGTTTTTTTCAACTATTTTTCTGTGTCTAAACCAAATTTGCAAATATCTTTTAGACAGTTTTTATGTCAGTGTCCTAGTCAGTGATATGATCTGAATCCACGAGACCTTAGGCTGAGTGTGTCACTTTGGACTTTTATCTGCCAGCTGACACAAAGTGAAATGCTATTTTAAACATGTTTAAACCCCTTTCAGTCACTCACTCACTCACTCACTCAGACCCACCCACCCACTCACTCACTCACTCACTCAGACCCACCCACCCACTCACTCACTCACTCCCACTCACTCACTCACTCACTCACTCACTCCTCACTCACTCACTCACTCACTCACTCACTCACTCACTCACACACACTCACTCACTCACTCACTCACTCACTCACAGCATGTGTATTGTATTCCAGAACTTTGCCAGCCGACCTGTTCTGGAAGCCCTGGGGTCATGTCTCACCAACAAGTACTCAGAAGGCTACCCCGGTGCCAGGTGAGAGAACGTGGCCCATCCTGGGCTGTGCGCCATAATTCAACATGAACCTTTCTTGTGTAAACATGGCTTCAGTATCAATTGCTTTGATTGTGACGGTGATGCTGTATTTGAAACTATAGAAGAAAGATAGACATATTTGTTTATTTGCGACTCAGATAGTCCATGCCATGAATCATGTAACTGCTTTAGTCACATCTATGTTTGAGTTTAGATACCCAACCTTACATTTTCACTGGTGACTTGTCATTAATCTCAAGGTGTTGATCCTGTACTAGGTTAGTGCCAACCTGATAACAGCCAAAAGAACACCCCTGTAGAGTGGCATATAACTGCCTCGATGGGTGTTTCAATTTGCCTTGCCAGCAGGCTATTAATAGGTATTCTTTGTTGAGAATGCATGGTCTCTTTGTATGAAGGAGTGTTGACCTTTTGTAAGGTTCTCATTTATTTTTACTTCAATGCTGAAAGTTTAAACATTTATTTTGACAAGGTACTATGGAGGAAACATTTTTATCGATGAGGTTGAAACTCTGTGTCAGAAGAGGGCGCTGGAAACATTCCGTCTTGACCCTGAGAAGTGGGGAGTGAACGTCCAGCCCTACTCAGGGAGCCCGGCCAACTTCGCTGTGTTCACCGGGCTACTGAAGCCACACGACCGGATCATGGGGCTGGACCTGCCGGACGGAGGGCAGTAAGTCCAACCCCTTGTCTTTTTTGCTATACCTGGGCAGAGTCAGGGTTATCAAAGTTGTAATCCGATCTTTGGGATCTCCCACAATTGTAACTGTTGCGAATCATTCTTTGGGGAGTTGATTTCTGTTTTGAAGGCCATCAGTCCATATTCAACAGTAGACATAGGAAACAGATACTTCTGTAGCAGCTGCCAAGTACATACAGTCATCATGTCACTCTGGAAATGCTGTCCTAATGAACAGCCTCCATTCTGTACAAGACACTAGAAGGCCCGGCTGGACATCCTATCTGTACACTGCTTGACTCTCTGTTATTAACAAGATGGTCATCATTGGTAGGAGTTTGTACTTCCAAAGAGATGTCCGCTTGATAGACCATGCATTACTGCATTTATTCAACATGTAGCTTGTATATCATTATAAGTATGTACCATATCGTATTTCATTATAAATATGTACCATATCATATTTCATTATAAATATGTACCATATCATATTTCATTATAAATATGTACCATATCGTATTTGATCAAGAGAAAGAGAATCATGAATACTGACAAAAGTAGTGAACTCTAGTTATGTCAACAAGATATTTGACCCGTGAAGATCTGGGGTAGAATAGGTCTTCCGCAACCCATGCTTGCCACAAAAGGCCTTGTCGTAAGAGGCGACTAACGGGATCGGGTGGTCAGGCTCGCTGACTTGGTTGACACAATCATGTCATCGGTTCCCAATTGTGCAGATCGATGCTCATGCTGTTGATCACTGGGTTGTCTGGTCAAGACTCGATTATTTACAGACTGCTGACATATAGCTGGAATATTGCTGAGTGTGGCGTAAAACTAAACTCACTCACACACTCAACAAGATATATCTACTGCATCAGCTAAATGCTTTCAGTACGTCTGTATTCACGTTCCAGTTTGACACATGGCTTCATGACTGATCTGAAACGAGTGTCTGCAACGTCCATCTTCTTCGAGTCTATGCCTTACAAGATCAATGTATGTACTCACACGATGTTTTTGTTCTGACCCCATGGTGTAGTCAATGCGATGTTGATGATATTGTCACAGTTGTCACAGCAGAAGATGTTAAAAAATAGTACTTGATATTTGAGTGAACAGAGTCTACAAAACAATGTGCTTGATGTAAAGGCTAACATAGTTTCCCAATGATGTTCTTGATTTAAGGGCTATCAGGGTATCCAGAAGGATGTGCTTGATGTGAGAGCAAACATTGTCTGCAGAATGATGTGCTTGATGTAAGGGCTAAGAGGGTCTGCAGAATGATGTGCTTGATGTAAGGGCTAAGAGGGTCTGCAGAATGATGTGCTTGATGTAAGGGCTAAGAGGGTCTGCAGAATGATGTGCTTGATGTAAGGGCTAAGAGGGTCTTCAGAATGATGTGCTTGATGTAAGGGCTAAGAGGGTCTGCAGAATGATGTGCTTGATGTAAGGGCTAAGAGGGTCTGCAGAATGATGTGTTTGATGTAAGGGCTAAGAGGGTCTGCAGAATGATGTGTTTGATGTAAGGGCTAAGAGGGTCTGCAGAATGATGTGTTTGATGTAAGGGCTAAGAGGGTCTGCAGAACGATGTGTTTGATGTAAGGGCTAAGAGGGTCTTCAGAATGATGTGCTTGATGTAAGAGCTAAGAGGGTCTGCAGAATGATGTGTTTGATGTAAGGAGCTAAGAGGGTCTGCAGAATGATGTGTTTGATGTAAGGGCTAAGAGGGTCTGCAGAATGATGTGCTTGATGTAAGGGCTAAGAGGGTCTGCAGAATGATGTGTTTGATGTGAGGGCTAAGAGGGTCTGCAGAATGATGTGCTTGATGTAAGGGCTAAGAGGGTCTGCAGAATGATGTGTGCTTGATGTAAGGGCTAAGAGGGTCTCAGCAGAATGATGTGCTTGATGTGTAAGGGCTAAGAGGGTCTGCAGAATGATGTGCTTGATGGGTGAAATGATGTGCTTGATGTGCGGGGGCCAAGAGGGTCTCTAGAATGATGTGTTTGATGTAAGGGCTTAGAGGGTCTGCAGAATGATGCTTTGATGTAAGGGCTAGAGGGTCTGCAGAATGATGTCCTTGATGTAAGGGCTAAAGGGTCTGCAGAATGATGTGCTTGATATATAGGAGCTAAGAGGGTCTTCAGAATGATGTGTTTGATGTAAGGAGCTAAGAGGGTCTGCAGAATGAATGTGTTGATGGGGCTAAGAGGGTCTGCAGAATGATGTGTTTGATGTAAGGGCTAAGAGGGTCTGCAGAATGATGTGTTTTGATGTAAGGGCTAAGAGGGTCTGCAGAATGATGTGTTTGATGTAAGGGCTAAGAGGGTCTGCAGAATGATGTGCTTGATGTAAGGGCTAAGAGGGTCTGCAGAATGATGTGTTTGATGTAAGGGCTAAGAGGGTCTGCAGAATGATGTGCTTGATGTAAGGGCTAAGAGGGTCTGCAGAATGATGTGCTTGATGTAAGTGCTAAGAGGGTCAGCAGAATGATGTGCTTGATGTAAGGGCTAAGAGGGTCTGCAGAATGATGTGCTTGATGTAAGGACTAAGAGGGTCTGCAGAATGATGTGCTTGATGTAAGGGCTAAGAGGGTCTGCAGAATGATGTGCTTGATGTAAGGGCTAAGAGGGTCTGCAGAAATGATGTGTCTTCAGAATGATGTGTGATGTAAGGGCTTAGAGGGTCTGCAGAATGATGTCCTTGATGTAAGGGCTAAAGAGTCTGCAGAATGATGTCTTGATATAAGGGCTAAGAGGGTCTGCAGAATGATGTGCTTGGATAAAGGCTAAGAGGGTCTGCAGAGATGATGTGTGATGTAAGGGCTAAGAGGGTCTTCAGAATGATGTGTTTGATGTAAGGGCTAAGAGGGTCTGCAGAATGATGTGTTTGATGTAAGGGCTAAGAGGGTCTTCAGAATGATGTGTTTGATGTAAGGGCTAAGAGGGTCTGCAGAATGATGTGCTTGATGTAAGGGCTAAGAGGGTCTGCAGAATGATGTGTTTGATGTAAGGGCTAAGAGGGTCTGCAGAATGATGTGTTTGATGTAAGGGCTAAGAGGGTCTGCAGAATGATGTGCTTGATGTAAGGGCTAAGAGAGTCTGCAGAATGATGTGTTTGATGTAAGGGCTAAGAAGGTCTGCAGAATGATGTGCTTGATATAAAGGCTAAGAGGGTCTGCAGAATGATGTGTTTGATGTAAGGGCTAAGAGGGTCTGCAGAATGATGTGCTTGATGTAAGGGCTAAGAGGGTCTGCAGAATGATGTGCTTGATGTAAGGGCTAAGAGGGTCTGCAGAATGATGTGCTTGATGTAAGGGCTAAGAGGGTCTGCAGAATGATGTGTTTGATGTAAGGCCTAAGAGGGTCTGCAGAATGATGTGCTTGATGTAAGGGCTAAGAGGGTCTGCAGAATGATGTGCTTGATGTAAGGGCTAAGAGGGTCTGCAGAATGATGTGCTTGATGTAAGGGCTAAGAGAGTCTGCAGAATGATGTGCTTGATATAAAGGCTAACAGGATTGGATGGTTGGTGTGCTTGCTGATTGTGTGACTCATATTCCTGATGGCATGGATGGGTATGTTTGACATTCACACATTTACATGCCATTAATAACCAAGACAATCTAGCTTCTATTTAAGGAATGTGTATTTAGATAATGTGAACTGTCTTCACCTACAGCCAGAGACCGGCTACATTGACTATGAGCAGCTGAGCATCACCTCCCGACTGTACCGTCCCCACCTCATCATTGCTGGCACCACAGCGTATTCCCGTCTCCTTGACTACAAAACCTTCAGAGAGGTGAGCGCTGTATTGAATCATGGGGCACACTTGTGTGAGGAGCTGCTGTCAGGTGTGGACAAGTATGTCCCTTGTGTGTGCCTGACAGCTGTGATTGTGGGTTCAAGTCTCTTTACACCTGTATACCTGTGTTATACCTGATGATGGTGTAGCTATACTCCTGTATACCTGTGTTATACCTGATGATGGTGTAGCTATACACCTGTATACCTGTGTTATACCTGATGATGGTGTAGCTATACACCTGTATACCTGTGTTATACCTGATGACGGTGTAGCTATACTCATGTATACCTGTGTTATATCTGATGATGGTGTAACTATACACCTGTATACCTGTGTTATACCTGATGATGGTGTAACTATACACCTGTATACCTGTGTTATACCTGATGATGGTGTAACTATACACCTGTATACCTGTGTTATACCTGATGATGGTGTAACTATACACCTGTATACCTGTGTTATACCTGATGATGGTGTAACTGTACACCTGTATACCTGTGTTATACCTGATGATGGTGTATACCTGTGTTATACATGATGGTATACCTGTGTTATACCTGATGATGGTGTAGCTGTACACCTGTATACCTGTGTTATACCTGATGATGGTGTAACTATACACCTGTATACCTGTGTTATACCTGATGATGGTGTAACCTATACACCTGTATACCTGTGTTATACCTGATGATGGTGTAACTATACACCTGTATACCTGTGTTATACCTGATGATGGTGTAACTATACACCTGTATACCTGTGTTATACCTGATGATGGTGTAACTATACACCTGTATACCTGTGTTATACCTGATGATGGTGTAACTATACACCTGTATACCTGTGTTATACCTGATGATGGTGTAACTATACACCTGTATACCTGTGTTATACCTGATGATGGTGTAACTATACACCTGTATACCTGTGTTATACCTGATGATGGTGTAACTATACACCTGTATACCTGTGTTATACCTGATGATGGTGTAACTATACACCTGTATACCTGTGTTATACCTGATGATGGTGTAACTGTACACCTGTATACCTGTGTTATACCTGATGATGGTGTAACTGTACACCTGTATACCTGTGTTATACCTGATGATGGTGTAACTGTACACCTGTATACCTGTGTTATACCTGATGATGGTGTAACTGTACACCTGTATACCTGTGTTATACCTGATGATGGTGTAACTATACACCTGTATACCTGTGTTATACCTGATGATGGTGTAACTGTACACCTGTGTTATACCTGATGATGGTGTAGCTGTACACATGTATACCTGTGTTATACCTGATGATGGTGTAGCTGTACACATGTATACCTGTGTTATACCTGATGATGGTGTAACTATACACCTGTATACCTGTGTTATACCTGATGATGGTGTAACTATACACCTGTATACCTGTGTTATACCTGATGATGATGTAGCTATACAACTGTATACCTGTGTTATACCTGATGATGGTGTAACTATACACCTGTATACCTGTGTTATACCTGATGATGGTGTAACTGTACACCTGTATACCTGTGTTATACCTGATGATGGTGTAACTGTACACCTGTATACCTGTGTTATACCTGATGATGGTGTAACTGTACACCTGTATACCTGTGTTATACCTGATGATGGTGTAACTGTACACCTGTATACCTGTGTTATACCTGATGATGGTGTAACTGTACACCTGTATACCTGTGTTATACCTGATGATGGTGTAACTGTACACCTGTATACCTGTTTTATACCTGATGATGGTGTAGCTGTACACCTGTATACCTGTGTTATACCTGATGATGGTGTAGCTGTACACCTGTATACCTGTGTTATACCTGATGATGGTGTAACTATACACCTGTATACCTGTGTTATACCTGATGATGGTGTAACTATACACCTGTATACCTGTGTTATACCTGATGATGGTGTAACTATACACCTGTATACCTGTGTTATACCTGATGATGGTGTAACTATACACCTGTATACCTGTGTTATACCTGATGATGGTGTAACTGTACACCTGTATACCTGTGTTATACCTGATGATGGTGTAACTATACACCTGTATACCTGTGTTATACCTGATGATGGTGTAACTGTACACCTGTGTTATACCTGATGATGGTGTAGCTGTACACATGTATACCTGTGTTATACCTGATGATGGTGTAGCTGTACACCTGTATACCTGTGTTATACCTGATGATGGTGTAACTATACACCTGTATACCTGTGTTATACCTGATGATGGTGTAACTATACACCTGTATACCTGTGTTATACCTGATGATGGTGTAACTATACACCTGTATACCTGTGTTATACCTGATGATGGTGTAACTATACACCTGTATACCTGTGTTATACCTGATGATGGTGTAACTATACACCTGTATACCTGTGTTATACCTGATGATGGTGTAACTATACACCTGTATACCTGTGTTATACCTGATGATGGTGTAGCTGTACACATGTATACCTGTGTTATACCTGATGATGGTGTAGCTGTACACATGTATACCTGTGTTATATCTGATGATGGTGTAGCTATACACCTGTATACCTTTGTTATATCTGATGATGGTGTAACTATACACCTGTATACCTGTTATATCTGATGATGGTGCAGCTATACACCTGTATACCTGTGTAATACACAGCCTTTCACCTGTATACCTTGCTGTATACATTTTGCCTGGCCATATACCTTTACTACACCCAGCTATCCACCTGTGTACCTGTGCAATACCTGTACTGTATACCTGTGTGTTGCAGATCTGTGATCAGTGCAATGCCTACATGTTGGCGGACATGTCCCACATATCAGGACTGGTTGCAGCAGACGTCATACCAAGCCCCTTCGAGTATGCAGATGTCGTGTCATCCACAACCCACAAGACACTGAGAGGGCCCAGGTAAGGAGAAGCAGACACAGGTAAACTCAGAAATAGATGATACCATATTTCCTCAAATAAGGATACTGCTTTGAGCCAAATAATATTTGGGCCTGAAAAAAAAGCTGTGTCTCCAAAAAAGGGGGAGCAGGTACATTATATTTAACTGATTTCTCCCTCCCTTGTATGAAGAAAAGAGAAAAGTCCTGTTGACTGTTGAGGTGTCAATTGAATTACAGGGGAAGTTAACAACAAATGATAATATACTTGGTACAAGAGTAATGTAAACAAATTAAAATTTCAATTTTAATATGAGATGAGAAACACAGGATTGGTAGGTAACAGTTACTTGTAGTTAAGGTCTCGATGTTTGATGTATAGACCTATTGACGGTTTTCTCATGTCCTTAGTGGGCAGGGTATATAGGGTGTAGGCAGGGTATATAGGGTGTAGACAGGGTATATAGGATGTAGGCAGAGAATATAGAGAGTAGGCAGGTATATAGGTGTAGGCAGGGTATATAGGGTGTAGGCAGGTATATAGGGTGTAGGCAGGTGTATAGGGTGCAGGCAGGTATATAGAGTGTAGGCAGGTATATAGGGTGTAGGTAGGTGTATAGGGTGTAGGCAGGTATATATGATGTAGGTACGATATGTAGGGTGTAGGCAGGGTATATAGGATGTAGGCAGGGTATATAGGATGTAGGCAGGGTATATAGATGTACGCAAGGTATATAGAGAGTAGGCAGGGTATATATTGTGTAGGCAGGTATATAGAGAGTAGGCAGGGTATAAAGGGTGTAGGCAGGGTATATGGGATGTAGGCAGTTCATATAGGGTGTAGGCAGGGTATAAAGGGTGTAGGCAGGGTATATGGGATGTAGGCAGGGTATATAGGATGTAGGCAGGGTATATAGGAAGTAGGCAGGGTATATAGGGTGTAGGCAGGGTATATAGAGGTGTAGGCAGGGTATATAGGGTGTAGGCAGGGTATATAGGATGTAGGCAGGGTATATAGGGTGTAGGCAGGGTATATAGGGTGTAGGCAGGGTATATAGGGTGTAGGTGGGGTATATAGGGTGTAGGCAGGGTATATAGGGTGTAAGCAGGTGAAGTACAAGGACCGTGTGTTGCAGGTCCGGCATCATCTTCTACCGGAAGGGGGTGAAGGGGGTGGACAAGAAGACGGGGAAGGAGATACTCTGGGACTTGGACAAGCGGATCAACGGGGCCGTGTTCCCAGCACTACAGGGAGGACCACACGAACATCAGATCGCTGGGGTTGCCATCGCTCTCAAAGAGGTAATCCTACTGTAGATGAAATGCTTACCATGTCAGTTTGCTACAGGGTTCACCTCTTTGGTCATATGGACAAGGTGTTCAACTTTGCACCAGAAGGTCTGTGGTCTGAATCCAAGCATGGAATTAGGAAGTTTTATGGCACCCAATGCACCCAATGGGTCTGAGCATGTTGAGGTTGAATTTGAAGTATATATGTAACATATCATGGAGTCACCCCACAGATGATCCTTGCCTTGTCAGTTTGGTGTCTGTGGTTCAAATCCCTGCACATAATTTCCTGACTGCTACATGACAGCAATCATGCACCCTAGCTGTCTTGGCAGGGCTACTTTGCCACAGCCAAATTATGGCATTATACAATATTCATTCACTCACTCCAGTATCAAACAGCTGTTCCTGCTACACTCATGTAGCCTTGTCTTCCAATCCACACTCGACTCCATTAGGCGACTGTCATTCAACAGGATTTGTGTTGAACACCACTAAACTAACATGTATTCATGATTTTTTGATGATGAACATCTCCACACATGTAGTGACATTTCAACGTCCAGTCTTCACCAAATGTTTGATGTGTCAGGCTGTAAGTGATAAGTGTTGATACAACATGGCTGCATCCCTTCTCACCTAACTATGTTCCATCTCCAGGCAGCATCTCCCGGAGTTCAGGGAATACCAGGCACAGGTGCTGAAGAACGCCAAGGCCATGAGTGATGCCCTGATGAAACATGGCTATAAAGTTGTGTCAGGTGAGTTCTCTCTCCCTTGTTGTGCCTTGTGGGGACATGCGTTGTTATAGACGCTATCACTTGTCTGAGGCTAGGAAGTTGGAGGTGGCGGCTTTGTCACTTATCTGGTGGCATGTTGTCAGTATGGTTTGTTGTGTATGTGTTCTCTTATGTACTGGTTTGTCTGTCTTTGAGCACCGAACTGTATGCAGTAACTGTTTCTCTAACTAACTCTAATGTTCATGGAAATCCTAGTTTGAGTATTCATCCTGCCTGTCAATGTGGGATGTCTGTTTACGGAAGTATTGTTGTGAAGCTACCTCTTAGATAGATGAGTTAGATTGTTTGTTTGAATGTAATCTGATTGTGTGTCATTTTGATTCTCTGATGTTGTATTCAGGATGGTTGTGACGCTTGATTGTTGTCCTCACCGCAATGCGGAACGGGGGACTATGTATTCCGTGGCATCCGTCCGTCCGTCCGTCTGTACATACGTCGCGATTCTTGTTAACGTGATATCTCATGAACTGTTGTACCCAATGGCTTCAAACTTGGTGACAGCCTACATTGGGGGATTACGCAGACACCAGTCGACTTGGGTGACCTTGGCTTTATTTTCAAACTTTTCAAACTGTTATTAACATGATATCTCATGAACTGTTGTATCCAATGTCTTCAAATTTGGTGACAGACTACATTGGGGGATTACGCAGACACCACTTGATTTGAGTGACCTTGACCTTATCTTCAAGGTCACCACAACACTTTGACCACTTTTCAAACTCTTGTTAACGCGAAATCTAATGGACTGTTGCACCCAATGTCTTCAATTATGTCGACAGCCTACATTGGGTGATAATGCAGACACCAGTGATTTCAGGCATCTTGTATGTGACTAAAAAATAAAAAGTAGTAAATATGTCATAAATATTCCATTCTTTAGTGGCGGGGGACATTGCCATATTAGTGGCAATCACTTGTCTGATTGTGTATTAAAGATGGTTGCGTCTCACTGATTGTTGGTCTGAATGTGTCTATTGTTCCAGGGGGCACAGACAACCACTTAGTCCTGGTTGACCTCCGTCCCAAGGGCACAGATGGTGCCCGCATAGAGCGTGTTCTGGAAATGTGCTACATCACCGTCAACAAGAACACCTGTGCTGGGGACAAGAGCGCCATGACCCCTGGGGGACTGCGTCTAGGTAAGGGGAGGGTGTTGGAGCTGGGTTTAGATGTGCCTCTGTTGACAAGAACATCTGTGCTGGGGAAAAGAAAGCCATGACCCCTGGGGGACTGCGCCTAGGTAAGGGGAGGGTGTTGGAGCTGGGTTTAGATGTGCCTCTGTTGACAAGAACACCTGTGCTGGGGACAAGAGAGCCATGACCCCTGGGGGACTGCGCCTAGGTAAGGGGAGGGTGTTGGAGCTGGGTTTAGATGTGCCTCTGTTGACAAGAACACCTGTGCTGGGGACAAGAGAGCCATGACCCCTGGGAGACTGTGCCTAGGTAAGGGGAGGGGTTGTGGAGCTGGGTTTAGATGTGTCCCTGTTGACAAGAACATCTGTGCTGGACCATCCACAGCACAGCTTCCATTGTACCCTGCTTGTGTCACTATGCATTCTCATGAGGTGTATACACTCTGGAGCTGGGTTTAGATGTGCCCGCTCTTCGTGGAACACCTGTGTTAGGTGACAAGAGAGCCGAAGGTCGTGAGTTCGATCTGGGAGACTGCATCCAGCGTTAAAATATGGTACTTGTTGGTCCCTGCCTGGGTTTCGGCATTAATGGGTTGAACTAGGGGGATTATTTCGAGTCAGTGTAATGTGTCTGCAGTGGGGTATTCATGCTTCAAGAGACAAATCAGCACCAGTGGGCTAGCACTTAAAACCAGCTGAAGTCTGGGCTATACAAGCAGCAGCGACATACATTGTACCATTTCTTGTGTGACTGAATGCATTCTCATGAGGTAAAACACAATCACCTCACCTCACCTATCACACATTCCTTCAACAGAGTGGTCTTAAACCAGCCGTCTACACCCCTGTTCACAGCACTGATTGTGCTATTATGAAATAGAAACAACATCTTTATGTTGTTAACTATTGGACTAAGTTGTCAGCAGACTTGCTATGATTGATTTGTAGGACCTGATTGAATTTGTCTTGAGAGACATGATAAATATGTTACAAAGACCCAGTATAGACAAGCTTGGTTGGACAGTTGAGTGAGTTCCTGATTACACAGATATACTGGACTCCTCCCACCTGACAGGATGCTGGGATAGCCTTGTGGTTGATACATTTGCCTGTCAAAGGTCCAGGTTTGAAACCCAACATGGGTGCACTCTGTGAAACATCTGTGCCCATCATGATACTGCAGGAATATAATTGGTGTGAAACACAACTCACTCACTCGTTCCATCGTGATATTCTAGGTGCTCCAGCTCTGTCAACACGAGGTTTCAAGGAGGACGACTTCCGCACTGTCGTTGAGTTCCTTGACAGAGGCGTTCACATCGGACTTGAGGCGCAGAAACAGACAAGTAAGTCACAGTGGCAACCAAGGCCCGTCACTGATGAACTATACCACAGGCACTAGGTATTCAGGTTTAGAAAAGGTTGCTTATATGTTGCTCTAATTGACTTTAGCAAAGCATTTGATTCTATCAATAGAACAAAACAGATGGACGTACTTCCAAACATCAACCTGAGTGGAAAAATGCTTCACATTTTCGAATATATGTATTCAGGAGTGTCAGCTTCTGTTAGATGTAGTGGAGGATCATACACGCAAGTCTTTGATTGTCCAGTTGGTCTCAAACAAGGATGTGTTCATAGTCCGGTCCTTTTCTCTCTGTTCATAAATGGACTCGCTGATATGATATTACAGGAGTGCAAAGGTGGAATACAGCTATACCCAGATCTATACCAACTATTTCTACTGTTGTTTGCTGACGACGTAATCCTGATGTCTGACAGGGTCAAGGTCTCCAGCAACAGCTCAACATTCTGTCTACATTCTGTGAAACATGGGGCCTGTCAGTTAACCTACAGAAGACAAAGGTTGTCGTCTTTAGAAAAGCGGGAATCCTTAGATGTTGTGAATAATGGTTTTACAACGGCAAAGAGATCGAGGCTGTGTCAAGTTACAAATATCTAGGGATCATGCTAACACCAACCCTGTCTCTGCGCCAGTCCGTTCTTCACCTTGCAACGTATAATGTGGACATATGGAAAGTTACCATTCAAGATCTATTTCAAAATATTCGACACCAAAATAAAGCCTATTCTGTTATACAGAAGTGAAATATGTGGACACACACATGACCAATTGAGAACAATACACACAGAGCTAAGCCTTGTGGACACCTTTGACTATTTCTACTCTGTGTCCTCAGCCATTGATATTGTGTAAACGCGTGGAACTGGCTGTGAATACCTTTAATCCACCAATGTAAGCCCATTTCTGGTGTCCTCTGGAATATTGTCAGATGCATCAAGTACTGATCAGACTCCTTCATCTCTGTCATCGACTACCATGCAAGGCATATGACATGTTGTATAATCTGGACAATGTGGAATTGACATACATGGTGTTCGACCGTTAGAACATGGGATATGCTTGGGCTTCACAAGATGTTGGTATTACGGAATATTTTGTTTAGGACTTTAAACAGCGTTTAAAAGATATCAGTTCTCAATAGTGGCATGAACTTTTTACCAGATATGATACATACTTAACATACAAAACAACTCTTGATGCTGAAGAATACTTATTAGACTCTTCACTTCGATCTTTTGAGCGCCAGTTTGCTCTTGCAAGAGTTGGACATACAAGTCTACAGATTGACAAAGGCCGAATATCAAATATGCCCTGTGAGCAACGTATCTGTCCACAATGTGATCGATATGAAATCGAAGATCTCTATCATTTTACTTTGATATGGCCTTCCCTTGACACCATCAGAAAAGCTATATTCTACCAAGTTATGTGATCAGGAACCCATCAGTACAGATGTTCTCTAAACTTATGTCAACAACTTCACACTCTGTGTTTTCAAAATTAATGGCATTCATTCATGTTGCTTTTAAGAAGCGAAAATGATTGTTTAATATCACCCATATTATTATTGTATCATGTATTTAGGCCTATCAATTATCAAAATTGATAAATAGGTTTTATGATAACACAGGTTCTGTTACCCATTTCAGATTTGAATATGACTATTTTTAAACAAATAAATAAACAGCATATTTCTTTATGGCTTCAGAAAAGTTGAAGGACTTCAAGGAATTTTTGGTGAAGGATTCTGCCACCGTAGAGAAAATGCAAACACTGAAGTCGGAGGTGAACGACTTTGCCAAGACCTTTCCCATGCCCGGGTTTGATGACCGATAACTCTCCTGGTGATGATAAGACACTTTCTGGAAGGCTCATCAACATTTGACGATCAGGAAACTTAAGTGTTGAGGATCTGGACGCGCTTATCTTGCTGCAAATCTCTATTTTTGTACTCTGACAATGGTGTGGATGGTAAGAATGTTTTATGATAGTTGTGGTTTGGGTTTCAGGAGAACAACAGAGAAACAAGCTATATGTCAATCAAAACCATGAATTGTTAAGTGGTCCTCGTGATTACGATAAATGACAGATCTGAAAAAGTCCACATATTTTTATTTCAGAATATCCTTGATAAAGTTTATCGTGTGTATGCCTGTCAGCTTGTGAGTTATGCCTGGTGAAGACTGTGAGCATTACGACTGGTACAGACTAAAGCTTGTTGCTTCTGGCAGTGCTGCTTATTGCTAGGCTGTAACCTCTGCATGGCTGGCACCTTCACTCATGTCTGTCGTTACAGACAAGATGCTGGAACTCACAGATGGCAGATTTGTAGGATAAATTAGTGACATTGTGACAGGAAGCTAGATTAATGTAAGAAATATGACAGCAATAAGGACATTGTTGGGTCCTGTGTTTTCCACTACAGATTGATGTATACGTTTCTTAAAAAAATGAGGACAAGATGATATTTTACCCCACTACAGATTGATGTATAAGTTTCTTCAATGCATGAGGACAAGATGATTTTTTATGATGCAGAGGTGACAAGACATTTTGATTTAGTTTTCACATTATTTGTTCATGTCAAACACTTGATTCATTCTCTCAGGCTTGATTGACTTAGTGAGGTAGTGTTTGTTGAGTTTAATTATATCAATATGTATTTCCAAGAACCCAAAGGTTCTTCCTTAAGGCAGATTTTTGACAGATACTGTCAGCTGGAGTTTTTATGTCCAGCATTAGCTGTGCATGGGAGGGTTAAATCCTTTTAGAGATGTATAACTTTCAGAATTTCTGTGTCATGAAACATTCTCTAGGATGATTGAGGCCATTGTGACTTTTGATAAATCTTTAATCATGAAGGTGTTTGTAAGCATGAAGATAACACATGTCTATCTCAAACAACCCTAATATTTTGTTGTTCCTGATCTTTGTTACATAGGTAGGTATGACCCAGTCATTTTGCAACAAAGTGCTATACAGAGTTGCATCCCTTGGACACACCAGGAACCTGTGAATATGGATTCAAAATCCCAGTTTCTTGTGATTATGTTGCTAGGTTTGTCAGCATCATGGCAGTGGGTTACACTTACGTGGATAATTCTGTGACCTACATCACTTCGGGCTTTCCTCCCTTATGAAGCTGACACGCTGTGATATACCTCGAATACTGTTGATATGGCATCACACCCAACTCGATACTGGGACAAACTTCTTCAACATCTTGACCATCACTGGGTCATGTGGTGTACCACTCACCCACAATTCACAAAATTGATAAAGATTTCATAATCTTTGAACATCACCTACATATTTTAGGTATTTCTCTGGAAACCATTAATGTTCTTGATCAACAGTTCAAATGTCTGTGATTGATAAGTACCTGGAAATTCAGCAAACAGCGTTCCCTATGTCCAAAACCCAATCAATCCTGAAGTGGTGAAAGTTTTCTGCAAATGTTGTGTGCAGCATTATGATTGCTCTTGTGTGCAGCCTAATTAACACTGCCAGATGGTAACACTGCCCGATGGTAACACTGCCAGATGGGAGTGTAATACACAACCAGTTACTCTCAGGTTCATAGTACACTGAATGAAGGAATTCAACCCACTTTGGAGTAAAGAATATGTTCAATTTGTTACCTGTTCCTCATTGCTTGAATCTCTAGTGTTTGACTACTTACTCGTTGACTACATGATGCAAGTCACACAAAGTGATGGAGCTTTAGTTAGATCTGAACATTATGTTGTTTTGTTAAGTTATTGGCATCATGAAGTGCTCTGGCCTTCCCTTATTTACCCAGTTAGTAATCTCAGAGAATAATGATGTAAGAGAGTTTCCATGTTGTCATGGCAACTGCATATGCTGTATGTTACTGTAAACTTTCTTAGTTCTGAGGAGTCTTTTTCTTGAACCTACCCTTGCAGCTCTTGAACGGTTCCTGTCTACTGTATGGCTACTTTAACTTATTACCATGATAACAACGAGATTATGTTGCTAATACCTTTAAAAGATAACACCCATCAGCAGCTTGTCTGTTGAAATTGCAAGTTATTTTATTTTTATATACTGGGGAAAATCATGTAATGGTTTCCTAGTGTTGAATTGTCGGTCCACACTCTTGTTCTCCATGCGCCATTGGGAAGAAGTCTGTGGAGGTGTTTCTTAAGGAATGAAAATGAGGCATGGTACACTTAGAGAAGTTCTTTAGTTGTTTCTGTACTGAGATGATTAAACGCTGAAGAAATATAAGACCCGACCATTTGTACTTTGTATCTGAGTTGTCCCGGTGCGAGATGAATATGGCCACTGTTAGAGGGCTTTTGAATATATTCTTTAAAACAGAAATATTTTGTTTCCACACACAATGTTGTCTGACCTGGATATGTAGTGCACTAGCTTGCCTTGTATGCTCACTGATGGGATCAGATTGTTTTATTGTGATAAATGTCTTTGTTTTTATTGTGAAAAGTCAATAACATGTTTCAAATGTAATCAAGATTTTGAGAATATTCTTCTTTCTGATACATTTTAAGAAGCTAATGTTGCATGATCATTTCTTTGTTCAGGAATATATCATACCTGTTTACATTTAAGCCCAGCATAGGAATTACTTGATCATTGAAATGTTGAAAATTCTACTCACGGCAGTCTTGATGGTTAAGCTAAGGGGAGGTAACTCCGGTTGTTACAGTACCACAATGTGCAAAACATCCAATCAGCAAAACTGATCCAGGAAAAAAAGCTTGGATATGTAATCCTTTTTTTTCTTTTTTTTTCTGACCAATAACAACCTGGAAAATGCTTTCATGAAAGTGTAACATTTGTACTGAATATTTTTTCTTGTTCGCAAAATCTGGATTATTTACAGTTATGTATAGTGTACTGTCGCATGATCTGTTCTGCTTGATGGAGGTTATGACTGTGTGAAGAAAATATATTTCCATGCTTTAGAAAGAATTTGTGTTGTCATTCCAATCCCACATTTGTCAATACAGAAGAAATATGACGAGACAACCTTGTTGTGGCATTACTTTCTCCTTGTTTTATCTTTAATGATTTTTCGTTTCACTATTTACAAGTTGACGTTGTGTGTAACAGTTAACTGATGTTGTGTTATGTTTAAACCTGCTTTTTGTGTATCAGTCAAAACAGCTGTTGGTATAACCTGCTGTTGTGTGTGTGTTAGCTGGTGTTGTTATTTAAGAATCTGCTCTTGTTTATCAGTTAATCGCTGTTGTTCGTACCTGTGCTTTCCAAACTTGACCAAGCTTTATATGTTTTGTTTAAGCATATCAAATGTTATAATCAGTGTTATTCTCACCCACAAATGGTCTCCACAGAATATGTTTTCATTAAGATGCTGAAGTGAGAACATGTACTGTTATTTTAAAGTAGTATTCATTCATTCAGCTAGAATGGAATCATTTCAGCAGTTCAGCATGTTTAGGGAACACTACATTAATGTCGACTCTGTGATCACAGTACATGGCAGCAAACTGTAATGGGACCTGCATGTGTACACCTCACAGTATAACCCACACTCAGTAGGGAATCTGTGGAAAACCCCAAAATAATAATAATTTGTTCCCTGGTTTGACACACACAATTAACCCATTCATGCGAGAGTTCACTAGAATGTTCACTGGACATGCAACATTTCTCGCAAACATATTTTATGTCAAAACATAATCCCTGGCCCCCAGAATATAAGGTGGTCGGTCCCCAGTCCTCCGCTGTACTTCCGAATAATGTGACCTCCTGAGTGCATGTGTGTGTATCATCAAATCTATGGGAAGATTCCCATCACCCATCACAGCCTGGTCTCAGGGGACTTGTCCAGGGTGCAGGAGGCCCCATTTCAAGTCTCCCACCCGTCATTTGTCTGATGAATGACTGTGAGCTTCAAATGCTTACAACCACTGCTTGAAATATGTACAACATGGCTGGAGATACACGGATACAGTCTGACGATACAATCTGGTTTCTACATATGTAGGTCTTGAAGTCATTAATTGTATCAGACGGATACAAAAATAAATAAGAAGTTTTTCATAAGATTCTTTTGTTGGCAGTTTTCAGAACAATGTAGAGAAAAAGACTCAAAACCAGCCTCTTACCACAAGGCAGACACACATATGCTGTCAAATATAAGCCCATTTAGTATCTGAACATGGTTAGATACTGGGATGTTTTTCAAAAACACATTCAAGAAGTAGTAGAATGTATTCTAGCCTGCCCATGTTGGGCAGCAAGCACCTGTTGATATTTGTCAATGGTTTTGTGTTTGGTAAATCCTCAATATGTTTTCAGGTGATGGAGCAGTAAGGATTGTTGGGGAAGGGGTTTGTTGTTTTCAGACTGCTCGCCTAGCCATGTTTGAGTGTGGTTTCCTGTGGCAGGCTGGAGTCACAGTGCGACAGTGGTGTTGTAATGGCTGGTGCAAATAAATATATTTCATATCAGATTTGTGTTTTTGAAATTTTTATGTTGCATGTAGAAACTAACCTGACACAATCACCAACCTGACACAATCACCAACCTCCTGGACACTGGCAGTAGTTGATGTGGAAACCAACCTCCCATGCCCCCAATATGACCTGGTTGATACAAGCAGTAGTGGGGTGGTGGGGTAGCCTAATGGTTAAAGTGTCCGCTCGTCATACTAAAGATCTGGGTTCGATTCCCGACATGGGTACAATGTGTGAAGCCCATTTCTGGTGTCCCCGCCATGATATTGCTGGAATATTACTTAAGGTGGGGTAAAACTATACTCACTCACCAGCAGTTTTTGCCATGCTTGACACTTTCAGTAGTTGGTGTGGGGACCAAATTCTGAAATCTCCAATATGCTGAGTTTGAGACAAGCAGTAGTTCTATCCGTGGAGATCCAAGTAAGAAGCAAAACATCGCCTGGTGAGGCTTTTGCCTTGCAGCAGGAAACAACATTAACAACAAATCTTCCCATCTCCAACATGCCATGGTGGATACAAGCAGTGGTGGTAAACCCACCACCACCACCTTCGGCAAGCTTGGGCGCATCCTTCCCTCCGCTGGGTTCTGTTGAAATGCCGGTATTGTGAAGTCCTATCACCTGCCTTCAGACCCTACGATTCGAAGGGATCCATATTAATTAAGGACGGAAGGTTACACAACCAGATGGAATGGAAACCGTAACAAACACTGTGGAATTGGTGAATGTGCAAGGAAACAGATGATGTGTCACGGCAGGTGAGGTCTTCCTGTGGTAATGAACAGCAACGGACTGAACCTGGTTTATAGAAGGTGACTTTGTTTAATATTGACCAATCTCATCCATTTGCAAATCAAAAATACCTTATCAGCTAATCGAAAGTTTGTTGATATACGAATGTGTTGGGTGTCTCGCGGTGAACGGTCTTGGTGTCTATTTAGACTCACAGCTCATCATGGACAAGCATGTAGACAGTTTCTGCAGGAGACCCGTGAAGGTCCGGATTAGAATACCGATCTTCAGTAACCCATGCTTGTCGTAAGAGGCGACCAACGGGATCGGATGGTCAGGCTCGCTGAATTGGTTGACACATGTCATCGGTTCCCAATTGCGTAGATCTATGCTCATGCATTGATCAGTGGATTGTCTGGTCCAGGCTCGCCATAATAGCTGGAATATTGCTGAGTGCGGCGTAAAATTAAACTCACTCACTCTGAAGGACAAGCTACTTTCACTTGAGATGCATCGGCCAGATCCGGCATCTTCTAACCACTGAAGCCACACCAACCTTGGGCCAATCCCTTGTCCTTTCACGGCTAGACTAAGCCAATAGCCTCCTCCTTGGAATCAAAAAAACATTACTACAAAGGCTCCAGAAAGTACAGAACACTGCAGCACGGATGGTGGCAATAGTGTCCAAATTCTCGCCCACCACACCAGTACTACAATCACTACACCGTCGGACTGAAATTCATAGTTGTGTGCCTGACGTACAAGTGCTACCATGGATTGGCTCCAGCATATCTATCCTGTCTACTCAAACACCACCAGTCCCAACGTTCACGGCGCTCAGATAAGCTCCGCCTTCTGTCAGTTCCTCAGTATAACTTCCCAAGCTTCGGTGATAAGTCGTTCTGTGTATATTCCCCAAGGTTCTGGGACACACTGCCTCTAAACAAAACTTCTCTCCTTCATATGACTCTTTCAGATCACGACTAAAGACCTTCCTATTCCGTGAACACCATGACCTTTGAACTATGTGCCGCTTTGAGCATACACGAGTGTATCTAGCGGGATACAGAACTACATCATCATCATCATTATTATTATTATTATTTTTATTATTATTATTATTATTAACGGTTAGCACTAAACAGCATACAGTAAGGCGACCTATTCGATGGAGGTAGTGTGATGTGGGCAGCAGTCTAAAGCAGTACCTAGCTGGTTCATCTTAACTGCACGACGGTAAGAAGATTAAAAGGTGGTGGTGATGATGATGATGATGATGATTTTAAGGGAGGATGGGGTGGGGAGGCACCCATTTTGTTCTGGGGAGATAGGGTAGGGAGGTAGTGATCATTTGTAACCCTTTCTCGTGTATTGTACAACATGATAACGTGAATATTCATAAACTCATACTCAGCCACTTTGACAAAGATATGGATGCAGACTATTTCTCATAATGTATATATTATGTAAGGAATATTCTAGATTATTGGAAAGATGGAACGGATAAGTATGGACCACTGTTAGTTCCTTTATGTTAACAAGACTCAGGTCTAAATCAAGTGATTTCCATATAGTCAGTGCACAAAGGCTTAGTATATGAGTTAGTCTTCAGTTAAACACACTTCAGAACCTATGTCGTTATAAGATCTTGTGTGAATTACATGAACACAAGGCAAACAGACCCGGTCCACTCCATGGGCTCAGAGCATGGCGTAACATTCAAATAGAACTGCCCGCCAGATGTACACCATCCCGGACCCGCTACTCTTGCCCTTACTTGGCATCATGTGTCATAGAGTCGAAGACAGCCATGTAGTTACACGTATATTAGAATGAAGTTATTTTGGTGGACCGTTAATGGGTAATTTTCTATTGTCAGCAGCCTGACACGTCAATGTTGTCTAAAAACCCATCTGTTCACACGAAAAAGCACTAGAACACATAGGACAAGTCAAACTCAATGGATGTTACTCAACCTTTCCCAGAGTCATACTGAAGATACAAATGGTTGTGGTTTACTCAGCTTGTAAATCCATGAAAGCGTTGGATGCTATATGTTATGTTATTTATCTCTAAACGTTTCACGTCAAGCCTTTTTTCCACACTATAGCTATTACGTTGTGATATAACTGGAATACACCCACGAAGATCCGGGTTAGAATTGATCTGCAGTAAACCCATGCTTGTAAGAGACGACTTACGGGATCTGGTCAGGCTCGCGGACTTGTTTGACACATGTCATCGTATCCCAATTACGCAGACCGCCGCCATACAGCTGGAATGTTGCTGAGTGCGGCGTAAAACTAAACTCACTCACTCATAACTGGAATACTGTTCGAAGCGGCGATAAGCCCAACTAACCTCGTGCCATTTGTACCGATCGATGTTTATTATTAACCTGATTGATTGGGCAACACTGAGTTGTCATGAACATGATACAGGCCATCATGATATAAATGGAAAATAACTGAGTATGGCGTTAAATAGCAAACCATACCAAACACTATCCTCAAACTGTAGTTATCCGGGAGCCATCTTAGCATCAGGTACCATCAAGCACTAACGCTTAGTCTCTGAATATATATAATTTTGACTGTAACAAAATAAACCCATTTAAATTGGAAAGGAGCCCAGGGAGACCAGAGAACCTGTGGAAATCTAGACTTGCTTCATTTGGGTCTTTAGCATTGCGGAGAGGGCAAGGCTGTAGGGAAAATAATGACTAAGCATTTGTATGCGATTTGTTGAAATTGGCAGAGTAGTTGTCAGGAAACAACACGGACAAGCGGGGTACAAATATAAAGTGCAACCTGGATATAATTCCCTGGTTATAATGCCACCCCGGATATAATGCCATATTTTCTCCTGGACAAACGGCGGCATTATAACCAGGGTGTACTGTATAGACATATTTAATACATGCCTGTACATAATTTGTACAGAGAATTATTTGCCCCTAGGGAGAGGCACGGACTGCTTTGATGTTGAATTACAACTGTTCTTTTCGTTGTCAGAAGTGTGATAATCGCAGTTACTTCCCTTAGATTACATTTCCCGCCCAGACATCTTTGAGTTCGTGATAGTGTATGAAGCGTCCGTAAAACATGGAACGAACAGAAATACATGCTAGTATCTCCAGGTGATCTGAGAATTTGTGTGATTATAAGAAATCCCTGCTTTATTTCTTCCCTTTAGTGTAGATAATGTTATTTTAATGAGCGATATTTGGCGACTCTGAAACGGAGACCAACAGCAATGCAAGTATAAAGTTAGTAAGTTGACTTTCATTAATATTGTTTTCAAAATTACTGTAAGGTTTCAAAAACATTGAAAGTTTCAATACTTCTGACTGACTGAATATTTAAGAACACAACACAGGAATAGCTTGCAATTTAATTTGACCCAAATACATCCGGCTGACTGATTGAGACAAGACACAATATAACACTGATATGTTTTATTATGACTTCAAGACAAAATCTCCAATTACATGGATAGGAACAAACATGCACAAAATCCAATATTCCGGAAGTATACAAATCATTGCATGTTCAGCATAATGTAGAAAAGGAGAATTACTGTATCTCACCTGTCGCACAGAAAACAAACACTTGGAAGAGGGTTTTATGGATGTCAACTTGTTTGTTATGAGGAACAAACGTTTCGGAGTATATCCTTGTGTGTTCCTCACAATACAGAAATTGACATCCATAAAACTATCTTCCTGATGTGTACCACTTATAAATGCCAATCAAAGACATATACACTTAAGTGTAGGAGTAGAGTATAGCATATCGAAACATTTCTCGGCAGGAACCAGTCCCCGAAGCACTTCAAACGTTGGGTCCACAACCCAGCTGTAATACCAGTATGAGGTATCACGGAACACCCATTTCATGTTTGGTTTACTCCCCAGCCACCATTACACATGGGAATCTCGTTTACCTAAAACATCTTGCGTTTTGACAACGAGCGAGGTCTCGTAAATTGGGCAAGGAAACTTAGGATTTGATGATATCTGGCAGTTCTGTATTTTGAAACGTTTCGTGACCGCTTAAAGACAACCTTTTACACTCTGGCACCACGATTTGTCCGAAAGTCCCCATTTATATGGCGTATTATGTACTGTTTATAGCCTATGATTCATGTGGTAGCTATTTTAGTAACATTACTGTAGATAAATTAAGGTCCACATTGTTTCTTTTTCGCTTACTTCTAACAATTTAGAGATTGAACGTGGTCGACATTTTAAAATTGGTCGCGAGAATGGTAAATGTTGCTTAAATTATATCGAAAACGAATCCAGCTTGTGGCAAATCTTAGACAAAGATTCATAAAGCCTATGTTTTACATCTTTCAAAATAGTTTTAAGGTTAAGAAACGACAATCATCACAAGAGCCTACTATCAATACCAAAATATTTCCTGTATCATGTCTCAGCTGTCAGAACAAAACATACAACTTTGAAGTCCAATTTGTTAAAACTACTATTATTTAAAACCCAAACAAGTCATGTTTGTGTTGTATTTTATACTGTTTGCATGTAAACATGCACAAAAAGACCCGTTGCCATCAAGCACTAATTATAAAACATAATTATCTATATTCAATATTGTTTTATTGTTGCATTAGGCACTTTATACCTTCTTGAGCAAAACAAAAGAAAGAACAGCAACAACTAATAAAAATAACAATAATAGATAATAACTGAAAAGACACAAAATACGGAGAGAACAAGAAAGGAAATCGATTTATAGAAATAATGAAAAATGGTATGAAAGGTCTGAAGTAAGGTTACATCATCCTATTCTTTGCGCCTATATAGGACCATAAGACTCTGACAGTGTAATGGTTTTGATTTTGACTGTCAGTTTTCGCCATTTTCTTGCAGAAGCGGTTTCTTTGGACATGTAACGTTGTATGGGCCCAGTGTAGTCATGGGTATGCCCTCAGACTGTAAGTTGGATCCAGACGTCATGACTGAACTGGTTGCTCCGTGAGATGAGGGGAGTGGCATCTCCCCTGTAAGTGTGGGGCCTTGTCCGTACGGACCTCTCTGCACACAGGACGTCTGATCCTGCTCCCGAAACACCTGGAAGAGACTGTGAGCAAATCCAGCCGCCACCATCTCGCTGGAGTTCCGGGAGATCATCGTCAACATCAGAACACCGTCAAGTCCAAGGAAGCTGCTGATAAAGCGCGCTAGTGCGGGGTCGTTTGTGGGACATCCAGTGAAGGCAGCGATGTGGACAGAGATCCTGTTGTTTCTGAAGAACGGCAGGAGGAGGTAGGCGAGCCAGACTAAGAGGTTGATGAACGTGAGAACAGTGAGGAAGAGGACCCAGAACCACAAGAACGCAAACATCTTCTCATAGATTTCGTTGATTTGCAGCCTACACTCCACTTCCATTGTTTGGGTGTTTTGCAGTCTCCTGAGCGTGTATCTACAGCGAACACTTCTTGTTAGGAATGGATTTACTGAAGTGAAGCTTTCAGGAGGTCTTGGCTTGAACGTTAACACGGGACTAAAGTATACAGTCAGAAATAGGAACTGTCCAACAAGGTTGGCTAAGGATAGTCCCTTCACAATGATGTAGAACACGCCTGAGATGATTTTGTTGCTTCCAAGAAGGGTGCTGTATACCACTGCAGTGTCTCTGAGTGTAGACCGGCGAACCTCTTCCTTGGCTTGCTGGACCTTCTCCAGACTGGCCACCGTCTCGTCCATGTTGAGCGAAAACACTCCCCTTGAAGCATTCCATATGGATCCAGGGATCTTGAAACAAAGAGCCTGGATAAGCAGGATCAAAGGTACCCAGAGATGATACGACACCAACTTGTGATTTTCAGGATTCATCCCCTCGATGTACAGGTTGTCCTCTGAGGTGAGGCACAGGCCCTCACTGTATTCCTTTTGATGTAAATCCATGCAGTTGATGGGTTGGACGAACCTGACGGCGAAAGCGCCGAGTGCGCAGCCGGCCAGTAACAGAACTGACCAGAAGCCATTAACAGAATCCACCCAGTCGCGGTCCACGCCCCGTCTAAACCATGATCCAGCCATCTTTCTGGAAGAGAGACATAAGTGTAACAACTTGTATACTACTTAAGACAAGTTAAAGGGGGAGTGTACTGGATGTCTGTGAGCTGCTATACTTACCAAGTGTGATTAGCGACACAGCTGAACTATAGCCATTTGAAGGTATTTGTTAACGTGGTTTGAGTACAACATATATACAGATTCCCAGCCCCCCCCTTGCTATTGGGTTAGAAGTTTTATTAGACAGCATTGGTTCTTGTCATTCCTTTTAAACACGCAGTTTATCTTTTCTCCGTAACGAGGTCGAGATGACAGGGTTGAGTACACCACAAGGCGAGCTTACACCAGAAACAGGGCAGATGGTTGAGTAGGGCAGATGGTTGACACAGGGTGGATAGCTATAAGCCAGGCTGGAATACACCGGATGGTGTAAAGCATTAATTCGGGGTTGAGTACACCTCAAGGTGGATAGTTATAAGCCAGGCTGGGGTACACCGGAGGATGTAAAGCTTTAAATCGGGGTTGAGTACACCTCAAGGTGGACAATTTAAAATCAGGTTTCATTACAGGACAAAAGCTGGCAGCTATAGGTTGGGTTTACAAGATAAACTTTGCAGGTTTATGTCAAAGGTTTAGATGGGCAAGTTAAAGTTAACACGATGTGGCAGACAGGTTTATAAAACATTTAATCACTAAAACAGAAATGAGAAGACATTTTGCTCGATGTTATATTAAAAAGTATTGAATCTGTTGTTTTTTTGTTCTTAGCTTAATCCCCTTTACAGTATTTAATATTCAAATCTTAATTATTCTTTGTCTGATATGATGATGTGGACAGACATCACCAAACTACAGACATGTATGACTAGGGGAAGTATGGTACTATATATTCTAATTCAAGAAGAGCAAACTAGATAAATATAAGTACATGTAATTTGTTTATTTAAAAGAAGCTTTTACATGCATATAGTTGGAACAGGTTTACAGTTATACAATAGATCATATACATATACTATAGTATGGGGCCATCGAGTCAGTTGGACGGATGTGTCGACACATACAACAGTGATGGCGAAATACCGAGGATTGTCGTAAACTTGATAAACATCCTGCCGAGCAATGACTGAATTAATTGAATATCACGACTTCCTATGAAATCCTAGAATGGACATTGCTGCGTTGTCGGACATAAACAGGCAAAAGGTGTCAAAATGCGATAACACGAAGCATTATCTGTCGGCTTTGAATAAGATTTTCTATTCCACAAAAAGGCGACAAATCGAAACTATATCGCGTTGTCGCGCATTTAACGCTTTTGGGCACATTTTAGATGGCGCTAAAAGCGACATATTTTGACCTTAAAAATGTTGTCGCATTGTCATTAAGGGATAAAACATATTGTTTAAAGCGCGCCGAATAGCCAAAATGTATTGTTGTCGAAGTATGTAGATGTATGTTTGTAACATTACTTACACGTTTCTAGGTCACTGATGTGCGACGTTGTGATGAAACGAGGGCGAGGGCGATGTTTCTCGACTACAGATTTGCTCCTCTTATAGTACTCTCAGTTCCATTTCCTCCAGTTTCCGGTCTATGCGCAGATGGACTACCGCTCACCATATCCACTCACACACAGTAAACAAATATAACTGTTACCCCCACGACGCAACATGCATGACTGCAATCAGTGTTCGAAATAGCCACTGGCCCGCTAGCCCGTGGCTAGTAAAAACCCAGTCAGGCCAGTAAATCTCCACTGTCACTGGCCCGACTGGCTAGTGAATTTTCATGGGGTCATTTTGTAAATACATGTATATTACTCTCTCCGACTTGTTAAGTTATAATACACTTTTAAATCATGCAAAATCATGGCCTGATAAAAATGTTCATCATATTAGCAGCTTAATGATGAAACCCGTGCCTACATTAAAATTCGGGCCAGTGAATAATTTTGTGGGCTAGTAACTTTCAGGCATAGCTAGCCCGTCTATTTCGCACACTGACCGCAATACACATTGCACGTCCGAACTGATTGCCTATCACTCTCTGTCAAAAACATCCTATCCAAATTGTGTAGATCGATGCTCATGCTGTTGATCACTGGACTGTCTGGTCCAAACTCGATTGATTATTTACAGACCGCCGCCATATAGCTGGAATATTGCTGAGTACGGCGTAAAGCTTAACTCACCCACTCTGTAAAAAAAATCTACTTCGCTTGCATGCTTTTTGTTGAATGCCGTAGTCAGTTATATTCTAGATATAGGGCGGCTGCCTGTATTAACTAATGGATCCTGCACCAGGCAATCCAGTGATTGTTACCAACTACCCATGTCGCATGACCACCGATACCATGACAAGCATTGGTTGCTGGGGATCAACTCTGACCCGGATCTTCATGGTTCTTGTACTTGAAGTCCGACATGAATAATAATAAATTCAAATTTGATTTTATAAAGAATTACATGACGTCACTGTCAAACTGTCATACCATCCCACATGTGCCCCCTTTGTTGAAGCTTCATGTGTGTACCGTTTTCTTTCTTGGCGATATATAAGTTGCACCTGTTACACGTCATACCGCTACAGGCAATAGTTCAGTCCATTCCACCCGTGATGGCTGAGCGGGTAAAACGTGTCGAAAGATCCGTTCGCTCCTATACTCTACAAGAAAGCACTTGATGCGATGCTCTAACACGGCTGCAAACTCCTCGTTTGTCAGATTAAATGTACAATATAACATTTCCCCAAAATATGTAATCAAGACATGCGTATTTACAGCAATATGAACAATCATCTCGCTTTCAGTTCCATTTCCAGTATAATATCGTAGTCCACGTTTCTAGCTACTATGTGATTACCTCCCTTACATACTGAATTTGATAAACAATGTCCCCAGTAAGTGAGAACAGTAGCCTATTTAGGCCGACCAAGGCCAAGTTGCCTTCCGCTTTTATTGAACAGACTATTTGGCACTGTCACCTTCTCACTACATGTACATTCCAACAAACGACATGCATTTGATTATTTAAATAAAGCTAAATTTGAACAACACTAACCAATTCGAGAATTTCAAGAAGTACCAGACCAAAGGCGGTAAGTCATAAACAAGTGTTTGAAAATAGAAATGCATTGTACATATTATTTAATACCCATAAGGTCAGTTACTCATATACCCCATCGATATAAAAAGAGAGAAAAAAGTTATTCGGAATGTTATATCAACTCCGACACAATTAGCAGGGAAAACAGTACTCACTGGAACATTTATATGTTGCGCCGTTGTTTTGTCTCGTTGATGTTTACCTCCCGTTGTTACCTATTTCAGTGGGATAGGCGCCGTATATTATTCAGGTCGCAGGTCTTCCTTTCACTCTTGTCACAAATTTTCTGACACATTTCATAAACTAAAGCGTGTTGTTAAAGATAAAACCGAATGACAAACCACAAAACAGGAATATATAAAACGCATGTTCAATTATTAGTTCTCTCAGTTAATTACAAATGAATAAATTTCCTATACTATTACCCATTAACCCCTCAAATCCCAGAGATTGTCTTCACAACTCTTGACAACAGCGGCATGCAGTGATATATGGAGTATAGGTGAAAGTCACCAAGATACAGTCGTCTAAAGCCGCAGCTGTGGGTACATAAAGTGATATATCGTCACACAAACGCTGTTGTATTTTGTCGATGTTGTGACTGTGGTTTTACTTCGCATTCAAATTGCTGGCCACATTTTCTGTTCAATTTCCAGTATGCCAAATTCCTGCTGTGTGATATGGATGTTTGGACAGTTCGAACCTAGGCTCCGTGAGATTCTGTGTTGGAATACGTCAACACTCGTCCCAAGAGCAACTCATACTCCACGAGGAAAAATGTATCGCAACACCTATAACCATTTATATTCATGTCATAATTATGTTAGCATGATTATTTTGACCCTTCTGGTGCACCATATACTTCTGTCAGATATGCACGTGTTACGATCAAAGGCGAGCATTACGTGCAATACGTGTACCCGTCATAAAGTAAACATCAAGTTTCAGTAAACTGTTCTTACAATTCGATAACTAGGAGAATCAACTGATTTCTTTGTTGATAAGCAAATATGAGGCCTCGTCAACTAGCAGATGCTCAGGGCTATTGGTATGCAGAATGCTGGCATGTTATTGATGGTTGTTGCAAGAGATATTGGTTGTCTTTCGTCAACTATTGGCCGATTGACCAGAAAACAATAGCAAACTAATGACGTTTAGGGCCTTCGGCGTTCAGGTTAACCTCAAATGACTTCTCCAAGGGAGGATACAGTCCTTTTCAGAATCATACGACTTCGTCCGTTTATGTAGAGTGGCGTGTTAAAATCAGAGTGGCTTCCACGTCGTCGTTTGTCCGACAAAACGGTTCAAAATCGCCCAAAATCAGCTGGGTTTAGAGCCAGACGACCTATCTCTGAATGAACAACGGTATCTGACTGACATCCCAGACAAGGTTGTTGCCCCACCTTTCGATGACAATCCTCTGAACACAAGGCCTTCAGGTCTTCATGGACGAGAATGCTTGGCCACATCGTGCACGTGCCATTGGGGATTTCCTACGGTTGCAACCCTACCTTGGCCTGCCAGAAGTCCAGATATCAACCCCACAGATGATTTTTGGGACGTTATGAGTTGCAGAATACGAAAGAGAGATCCTCTTATAGAAAATCTTGATGCACTGGGACAACCGTTCCATCACGAATGGAGCACAATTCTTTAACGTCAATACGTCTGATATAGTCAATGAGGAGGAGGGTGAGGGATGTTATTGCAGTTGGCGGATATTGACCTGACATTGTGCTCGGTTATTGGTACTTGTGTTATTTCTTTAGGATTTTCATTCTTGCTTATAGATTTGCTATTAAATGATTCCTTAGGGGGTCAATATATCAAGATAGTAAGTTAAATCGAGTTTTGGATAGATTCCTTTGTCACGGGTAACGGTAACATTTTGATACTATGAAAAATATGTGCAGTTAATAAAACAATAACTGAAAACGTTCAGTGTACCAATGTAAACATTTATATATACAAAGGAAGAGTGAATAGGTGATGGCTGTGGACTGACAAACAAATGGACATTGCTAAAACTGAGATATATAAGGAAGATGGACTCGATGTGTTTGAACGTGGATCTGAAGGAGTCCTGGGATTGAATATTTCTTAAGAGGGTTTTCAGATGGAAATTGGTAGCTGGGAAAAATGTGTAAATCTAATCATATCAATTATGTATAAATATATTTCAAAACAACAAGACGCTTTATACAGAGAATGAATATAAACATGTACGTCTTGTATACGAAATGTGTTGCAGATAATAACATTAGGTTACAGAACCATCCGGAAACTAATATGAAAATACGATCTTAAATCTTGGCACCACGGGGTTATAACCGTGTCTGTGTCATCAGAATGTTTGCAGTTAGTGAGACTTTTAATCCCTGTTTAAATGCATGCGCACAGGAGACTGAGAGTGTCATATAAATGGAAAAAGTATTTTTTAAGTTGAAATTTCTATTTTGATGGAAAGAGAGGAGACTGTCATGAGAATAATGTGATTAACAAAAACATTAAGTTTGAAATAAATATCCAACCAGCAAAAACAATAAATTGCATAATGAAGAAACTGATTTTGAAAGTAAATATGCAACATTTTGTTTGATAATAAGTTAAACAGTTCCAAAAGAACGAAAGCACAAATAGTTTCAATTATATGGATAACCACTTATTCGTGGTGTTGTTCGTTCTTGGAACCATGCCGCTGTTTGAATGTTCTTATTGCCGACCACTCTGAGTCTGTATATGTTTCTGTTTGTCCTTGGACCCCATGTTACCTTCAAGTATAAGGCATGTTTCACTGTTCAGACCTGGAGGTACCTTGCTGCATAAGGCATGTCTCGCTGTTCAGATCTGGAGGTACCTTGCTGCATAAGGCATGTCTCGCTGTTCAGATCTGGAGGTACCTGTACTGCATAAGGCATGTCTCGCTGTTCAGATATGGAGGTACCTGTACTTCATACGGTATGTCTCACTGTTCAGATCTGGAGGTACCTTGCTGCATAAGGCATTTCTTGCTGTTCAGATCTGGAGGTACCTGTACTTCATGTGGTATGTCTCACTGTTCAGATATGGAGGTACCTGTACTGCATAAGGCATGTCTGACTGTTCAGACCTGGAGGTACCTGTACTGCATAAGGCATGTCTGACTGTTCAGACCTGGAGGTACCTGTACTGCATAAGGCATGTCGTCTGTTCACACCTGGAGGTACTTGTGCTGCATAAGGTATGTCTCACTGTTCAGATCTGGAGGTACCTTGATGCATAAGGCATGTCTCGCTGTTCAGATCTGTAGGTACCTGTACTGCATAAGGCATGTCTCACTGTTCAAACCTGGAGGTACCTGTACTGCATAAGGTATGTCTGACTGTTCAGACCTGGAGGTACCTTGCTGCATAAGGTATGTCTCACTGTTTAACCTTGAGATAACTGAAGCTATAAGGTGTGCCCTACTGATAGATCG